GAGAGAGAGAGAGAGAGAGAGAGAGAGAGAGAGAGAGAGAGAGAGAGAGGAGGAAGGGAGGGTGAGGAGTTGGGGATGGTGTACCTCCAAGGGCCCACTGGGTCACTGCATCCTCTAAGTAGGGCTTGGTTTTCTAAAATTTCTGCAGCCTCTCAAAGCTGCACTACCAGCTGAGGGGCAAGAGTTTAAATTATGAATCTGTGGGGGATATTTTAGATTCAATCCAAATAACAAAATGGCTATTTTAGAATCTTTGGACTGATGTCATGAAACGTGATTTAGGTATTCCCTGTGGTTGACTTAATGCTTGCTGGTGACATGTAGCATATCTCCAGATGTTACATAATGATCTGTAAAAAAAAGTGAGGATGTGGGGATTTCTGCTTATTCCTTACTAGACTCCTGGTAAAGTTCTTACGCTGGGTGTGGCCAAGGGAACACAGGCTGTCTGACTTGGCTGCTCAGATCTTTGCCTTGTGAAAAGTGTACTGTGTTGTAAGAGCCCCAGCCATTCTCTGCTGCTAAGGAAATTTGGGTGCTCTGTGAGCTTCAGGAGGGAAGGGCTCCTGCCTATCTAGATAGATATTTCTAGATCTTAGGAGCCAGGTGTTGTACATGGTGGGTTGTAAGTGATTAATAGACTTTTTGAATTGGGTTAAAATTTCCTCTGCTCAGCATACCTGAGAGGCGGCTTTCCTCTGCTTTGCTCCCACATCACCCACCACTGGGCCTCAGGCTGGGACTCTGCCCTCTAGCCTGTTTCCTCAGTGTCTGCAGTTGCTTCTGGACTGGGCTGCAACAACTGGTGGTGGGGATTTTCAGCTGCTTTCGTGGGAAGAGCAACTGCGTTTTGGGAATTTGCTGAGACGTTTCCTGAGTCCTCGTGGCTGACTTTATCATGTCCATCTGGATAACCCAACCTGTCCCCTTATCTCAGCTCCGTGCATGGAATCCATCAATGAAGTCTCCTTTACTACCTAAGGTGACACTGTGGCAGGTTCTGCTGAGCAGCCAGGAATCTGCAAAGTGTGATGTCTGCCACCTGCCCCCAAATTCACTCTGTCACACATACAAAATGCAACCATCCCACCCATCCTTCCTAAAATCAATTCCTAGAGCAGCAGCCTATAATCTAAAAATCTCCTGCAATCTCTCCACCTGAAAATTCCAAACCTCACTGTTGAAGTAATTGGAATGAGGTGTGGGCAAGACCAAACTTGGGCTAGAATTACCCTCCATCTTTAAACTCATGGGACGGGAGGAAAAAGCAATGTACTTCCAAAAGACAGTGGGGAAGAGGTTTTGAATAGCAGTTATAGACACCTCTGTTCAGAAGGGGATGAGGGGGAGGCGAGCAGAGCTGCTGTCCCCTGGCAACTTCTGAATCCAGCAGTGCTTCCTCCATCTCAAGGCTTGGGAGGAGCAGCCGCGATCTGTTTGTGGGCCTTCCTCTGGGATATCATTCTTTTCTGTGAAGGATAGCATGCCTTTGCCATTGAATAGTCTACCAGTCTGTTTCCTGTCAGAATTTCGGGGATGTGTTAGTCCTTTTTCATTTTGTCCTTTCTCTGTTCTTTTCATTTCAAATAGGCAATGTTTCTGTTGGTATGAGATTCTCAGCAATATCTTAATTTATTTGCAGTATTTTAATTTAATTTTATCTTTCCTTGTGGTGTCTGTCTATCTGTCTGTCTGTATGTGTACTATATGTGCCTGTGTGCATGTGGAGGCCAGAGGTTGATTGTGAGTGTCTTCCTCTGACTCACCACCTTATTACTTTTGAGAGAAGGTCTTTCCCTGAGCCCAGAGCTCACTGATCTACTATACTGACTATGAGCTTCAGAGGTCTGACTGAAATCTGCCTGTCTCTGCCCAGCCTTACCCCAACTCTGTGGTTACAGATGTGAACAGCCGTACCTGGCGTTTTACACTGGTGCTGGGGGTGTGAACTTAGTTCCTCATGCTTGTCTGGCAGACACCTTACTGACTGAACCACCTTCCCTGTCCCTACTTTTATTTTTGAAATAAGATTCCACTACATAGTTGAGGCTGGCCTGGAACTTGAGATTCTCCTCCCTCAGTCTCCCGAGTGCTGGGATTACAGATTTAGGCCACTATACCTAGCTTCATGAATATTAAAAAAGATGTATCTTATTTTTGATTGTTACAGAGTAGTCGTACATAGTAATAGGACACAGAGTCACGTTTTAATACCTGTACCTAGTGTGCGATGATTGTTAGATTAGGCTCATTGGCATACCCGTCACCTGGGTCATTTATCATTTCTCTGTTTGGGAAACATTCAAAACCCTTTCTGCTAGTTATCTGGAAGCACTCAATTAGTTATTGTCCATCACAGTTCTCCTGCATGCTGCAGAGCATTAGAAGGTGCTCCTGCTAACCAGCTGCATCTCTGGCTGCACAGCCACCTCTGTCCCTCCTGCCCCTTTCTGGGCTCTGGTAAGCATAACTGTTCTCTGTACTTCTGTAAGATCAGCTTCCCATTTAACGGACAGCTGCGGTCCTTGGCTTTCTGTGGCTGATTTATTTCACTTAGCACAGTGTCCTTGAGATCCATTCATATTACTACAAATGACAGAATTTCATGTTCTTTACAATAGAATTAGTGTTCTCTGTGTGTGTGTGTGTGTGTGTGTGTGTGT